TATTCCTAATTACATTATACCATTCAAGATTCCTCAAAATGTATGATTAGATAATTTTTTCATGATCATGAATTGTTAGTTTTGAAGAATACAGTTTTAGTCACTATGTCACATTTGGGGTGGGCAGGAGACTAAAGAACATATTTAGTGTTTTCATTTTAAGTTAATTGTTATAGTTGGCATACAAGTAATGGGCTTCATTGTGACATTTCATTTGTCTATATCATTGTATTTTTTTCTTATTTATCCTGACCACTACTCTCCCCTATAATTTCAATGTACAACTTTCTCCCTGTAAATCATCTCCCCTCTGGTTTTATGTGTGTGTATAAGCAAATCTAGATTCTGCTTATGAGAGAAAATATTCGATATTGTGTTTTCTTCTTCCTTTTACTGCTCCCCCACCCCATCGCTGCCACATTTATCCCCTTTCTTTAGCTGGAGTTATCTCCAGTTCTGCTCAGGCCTGCAGCCACTCAGACCCTAATAAACACACAGACGCTTATATTATTTAAACTGTTTGGCCTAATGGCTCAGGCTTCTTGTTATCTAGTTCTTTTATCTTAAATTAACCCATTTCTATTCATCTATAAGTTGCCACGTGGCTTGTGACTTACCAGTACTTTACATCTTACTTCTCATGGCAGTGGCAGCTGGCAGCATCTCCTGACTCAGCCTTCCACTTTCCAGCATTCTCTTCTCTGCTTGTCCCACCTATACTTCCTGCCAGGCTATTGGCCAATCAGCATTTTATTTATCAACCAATCAGAGCAACACATTCACAGCATACAGAAGATATCCATAGCACTTCCCTTTTCTTTTTCTTCAAAAAGTAAGGTTCTAACTATAACATAGTAAAATTACATATAACAAAACAGTTATCAAGCAAGAATTACAGTTACAATATCTAGTCTATTTATAATATCTAGTCTATTTGTATTTGGAAAAATTAAAGAAGATATCCTATGTCCTGTATTTGTGAGTGTAAGGTTTTATATCTAACTTATCTTTTATCATAACTAAGGAAATTATAGCTATCTAGTCTTCAACTACATCAAAGACTTCATAAGGATATAATATTACCTAAGTAAAGAGGAAGAGCATTGTAAGCAACTTCCAAAAATCCAGAGTGACAGAGACAGCTGGCTGCCTGGATAGTCACCCAAATTTCTTCTGCAATGTTGGGATATCCACTTTTCAGCCTACAGGCGTAGACTCTCTCAGTCATTTCTCTCTGTGTCCTGTAGAATGTCTGGCAGTTTCCTCTGTGAAGCAGGAACCTGAAGGACCAGTTCGCCAGTCAAAGTTCAGTGGTCACCTTCCTATGGGTCCTGCATGTCCAGTCAATCAAGCAGTCCAGGCAAGAACAGTTTCTTGCCCAAATGGCTATTTTTGCCAAGAAGAAGATAAACTCCAAATAGAGTGTCTTCGATGCCCATCCTCCTCTCTGAAGTAAATCGGTGCTGCCAGGAGCAGACATGATTCACTATTCAGAAAGTCTAAATTTTTAAAACATTTTAAATGCCATATTTTGTAGGTCTTTGAAGTGTTTGAAGACTACCTATCTGTCTGAAATATATCTGTATATACCTAGAAAACTTAACTAACATGACTATAAGTTTGTTTATCATAGAAGACTAATTATTAATCTGTATTTTTAATTATCCATTACAATCTAAATGAGTTACATAAACATAATACCTCAAACGAAAATAGAAATATATATACAGTATAACAAAATTAAGTTTAAACTTGTATCAATAAACTAAAATCCATAGCAATGTAAAACATTTCTAAACAAGTTGTTGCTCTTTAAAAGTAGGTTACCCTTTTATCCTATCATATCTGTATCCCCTTTTCTTCTTTAGAAAGAGATTGCATTTATAATCAACCTGCTTTAAATAAAAATATTGGTTTTGCTCTGTCCCACACCAAAGGGTTCTTCTGATATGGGACACAAGAATCTCTCAACCTTTTCTTTTAGAAATATGCTTGGGTTTAGAGAAGGAGTGAGCCAGTTCCATCTCCAAAGCCAGCTTGGTATATTTGGGAATTTGGTTGTAGCTTCTCTTACTACTTCCTGCCAAATGAGGGTGCTGTATTCTTATGGGGACACAAAGAAAATTTTAGGATTATGGAGTAGTCCATGAGGCTATATTGTCTGAGCCAGTTGCCTTGAAACCGTTGTGGAAGTTGGATTATCTGGGTCATAGTGTCATTGGAGACCTTTCAGGGGCTCTTTTCTGGTCAAACCTGATATATCTTAATCTGGAACAAATTCATAGCCTCTTGCTTTCTGTGGAAACAAAAGCAGAGTCTCCTTTCCAAAGCAACATATCTTTAGATTCAAATATTGAAGTCAAGGTACCTTTAAAATATACATGTGTGTTTACCTGAGCAGTCTTTACAATCAAATGTCTTTCTGCAGTTAAAAATATCAAAGACAACACAATCCAAATTCTCTGTGTAACATCCATCTTTATGTGGCTTATTTTTTATATTACTTTTACTTTCTCTTTAAATACTTTATTTTTTATAACTATTTCTTTATATAACTTCATGTATTACTTTTTTTTCTCTCTTCCAAGCCTGCGTACATTTTTACACACACTGTAAAGCATTTAGAGGTTTATCCCATCTGAATCGGTCTTACTGTGAATCTGTTGCTTTAAACTGCAGTGGTTAGTACTGAATGACTCCGCCCACCTCAGCTTCCCAACATGGCGGTGGTATGTTTACCACCAGCTCTGGGTCTGGAAGCCATATGTACCATCAACTCTCAGAAACAGTGGGTCTATGCTTCTATCAAAGCAGCCTATAGCCCAGAAACCTCTCTTTTTTTCTCTCTCTCTCTTTTTTTTTATCTGTACTAGCAAAGGCTAAATCTACCATGCAGGGTAATGTGCGGCTTGCCTCATTCCCGCCATGCTGTAGGTCAAGTCCACACACCACGAACCTGCCATAGAGTAGCTCAAGCCCCCAGGCTGTAGCTAACTTGGTAGAGACAACTAGGAAGCTGTTTTTAGCTCCGTTTTAGAATCTTCTTTCTCAGGTTTTAGGTGGAAACTCTAGCTGTTGGGCACCATTTTTAGCTGGAGTTATCTCCAGTCCTGCCCAGGCCTGCAGCCACTCAGACCCAAATAAACACACAGACGCTTAGCTTATATTAATTAAACTGTTTGGCCTAATGGCTCAGGCTTCTTGTTATCTAGTTCTTATATCTTAAATTAACCCATTTCTATTGATCTATAAGTTGCCACGTGGCTTGTGGCTTACTGGTACTTTACATCTTACTTCTCATGGTGGTGGCGGCTGGCAGCATCTCCTGACTCAGCCTTCCACTTTCCAGCATTCTCTTCTCTGCTTGTCCCACCTATACTTCCTGCCAGGCTACTGGCCAATCAGCCTTTTATTTATCAACCAATCGGAGCAACACAGTCACAGCATACAGAACATATCCACAGTACCTTTCCTCCCTCATCGTAGTCTGTCTTCTTTCATGGTATCTGTACATGTCTTATATATGAATTTACACATACCTCACACACAGATAGATAGGTGTGTCCATATATGATAGAAAACATGGTTCATGTATTTCTGAGTCTGACTTGTGGTGGTTGTGTTATTGTCATTTTTACATAACTTTATCATGTTAGTGATAATCTCTATCAATTTTCCTGAAGATGCTATGAATTTCAGCTTCATTATGGCTGAATAAAATTCCACTGTGTGTATAAACCATAGTTTCATCAAGTTAATCTGCTGCTGATGCTCTTGGTGGGTCGCATGTCTTGTATATTGTGAGTTCCTCACTTCTATAGTAAAATTACTAAGTTACTTTCTCACCAGCATTGTATAATGGTTCTCAAGCATTCTCTGTCCCCCCTCTTTCTCTCTCTCTCTCTCTCTCTCTCTCTCTCCCTCCCCCCCCTCTGGTGATAACCATTCTCATTGTGGTGAGATAGCATCTCAATGTTGTTTTAATTTTCACTTTCTTGATAGCTAAGGATGTTGAAATATTTCCAGATACTGGCCATTTGTATTTCTACATTTGAGAAAGTTTCTATTTATTCACCTATTTATTGACTGGATGATTTTTCATGTCTAGTTTCTCCAGACCTTCCTTTTTTGTCTATGTCAGTCTTCTATGACATATCCACTTGGCAAAGATTTTCTCTCATTCTGTAGGCCATCTCTCCATGCTGATGCTTGTCTCCTCTGCAGTACAGACATCTTTGATTTCATGTGCTCTCATTGGTCACTCCTTAATGGTTTTTTCTGACCTATTAGAATCAAGATTAGAACGACCAGTTATCTCTAAATAGTGTACTTTATCTATTTGATTTACTGCTAAAATATGTTGGAGGAGTATTTTTTTGTGAGTGAATATTGTATACAGTCATGATTTACCATAAAAGTAACACAGTATTCCCAGAATTATCCGTTGTACAATTTATGTTTTAATTGCAGCTTTGTTATAACTAGAAAGTCGTAGATAAGATGGCCATTCTAATAAAACTGTGGATAGTAAAATGTGATTTTTGTACAACTTTCATGTCTTTTGTTTCCTCCCCAACTATTGAAACAAGGTAACAGTTATTCTACATACATGGGGTAGGCTATGTTTGACCTGCGTATAATAGATTATTAATGTCTAACTTAGAAGATTATGCCATAATATAGAAGATGTTCATATCACATTGAATATGAGAACACAGATCACAAAACGTATATTGAGTGCGACAACATCTATATAAAAAATCAATTTCCAGCAAGACAGCTTTGGGCGATGCTATATCAAAATATTTACAGTGCTCCCTTGGTTAGATTATGGGTAAATTTAATCCTACATGTGTTTGTTTTGTATGTTCTGAATTTGTACTATGACTGTTTATTGCGTTGTTTTAAAAATATTCTTATATCAGAAAAAGTTATTTATGCAGTGTCAGCAAATTAGTACATTGATACAATCTGTTTTGTTTTCCCTGTTTTATGTTTAGCCGACAAGTCCCAAGTTTGGAAAAGCTGACTCATATGAAAAACTGGAAAAGCTAGGGGAAGGATCTTATGCAACAGTATACAAAGGGAAAAGCAAGTAAGTTAAATGTTTTAAAGAATGTGTCATATGTGCAGGGTATCTGTGCTCTTACTATTAAATAACAGCATATTTAAATAACTCAAATTTACTACATAATAGATTTTCGTGCTGTTTGGTTCCATGACTCCTGTGAATCTGCTTCAAACAAACCTAAAAGCCAATGGAAATTGTTTTCCTGAGGCAAATGGCTCTGCAGACTTTTCTAACTTAGCTTACTATTTCTCAATGGAGCTGGAACCCCCAAATGGGAATTATTTCCCAGGTGAATGGTGGTTTAGTGTTTAATATTATTTTTTCCATTTTTCCCATTTATTGAAAATAGATTCTTTTCTCATACAATATATACTGCCTATATATACTCATGAGATCCACAGAAATACTGAGTTAAAAAGCTGTAATATACACACAGAGAACCTGGTACAGACCCATATAGGCCCTGTGCCTGCTGTTTCAGTCTCTGAGAGCTCAGGTGTTCCTTGCTTAGTTGATTCAGCAGACCTTTTTCTCCTGGCAGTCTCCATCTTCTCTGTCCTCTTCTTCCCCGGGGTTGCCTGAGCTCTGAGGGGAGGGATTAAATGGAGACATTACATTTAGACTTTCTCTCCAATAATGTCTGGCTGTGGGTCCCTGATCCTGTTCCCATCTGCTGTCAGAGGAAGTGTCTTTGCTGATGACTGAATAATGCACTGATCTGTGAGTATGGCAGAATATCATTTTATTGTTTGCTGTTTGTTAGTTTAGACCAGCAGTGTTTGGTTTTACCCTAGGTCTCTGGTTCTTGGCCACCCAAGCAGTGACAGTTATGGGTTCTATCTAGTGAAGTAGGCCTTAGTCAAATCAGACATTGGTTGGCTACTCCCACGAGTTCTGTGCCACTGATACCCTAGCATATAAGGACAGACTATAGGTCAAAGGTTTTATGTCAGGTTGGTATTTATGTTTCTCTTTTGCTAGCCTATAGAGTACCTTCCTGCATCTAAGACATCAAAGAATGTAGGAGTGAAGGCTCCATGTAGGCACCAGCTGGACCTCTCCATGTTCAATGAGTTGTATGGATGTTGTCCTCAGCAATGATGCCCCACTGTCAGATTGCAGAGAGTAATATATTATCTTAGCATCATCCTGGGTTGTTTGAAGATTTTCATGTGATTCCCTTAGTGAATAAGTCATTTGACTGCAACCCAGTCCCTGTACTGGAAGCCTTGTTTAGCAACAAGAGATGGCCAGTTGATTCCCTATCCTCCATTATTAGGAGACCTCATTATGATCACCTTCATATATTTTAGGAAGTTTCACTGCACTGGGTTTCTATACCCTCCCTCAAATGCCCCTCAGTTTCAGCTGTTTCTCCCTGCATTCTCTCCCACTCACCTCCCTACCCTCCCTCTCCCTATCTGATCCTCCTGTTCCTGCCCCACCTGCCCCTAGTTCACTGGTAAAATCTATTCTATTTGTCCCTCCCAGGGAAATCCATGTGCTCACCCTAGACCCTTTCTGTATACCTGACCTTTCTGGGTCTACAGACTGTAGTGTGGTTATCATATACTTAATGGCTAATCTCCATATAGAAGAGAATATATACTGTATTTACTTTTCTGGGTCTGGGTGACCTCATTCAGGATGATTTTTTTTTCTAGTTCCATCCATTTACCTTGAAATTTCATGATGTCATTATTTTAACAGCTGAGTAATACTCCATTGTATAAATTGTACCACGTTTTATCCATTCTGACATTGAGGGACATCTAGGGTTTAGAAAAAAGTATAAGTGATCTAAATCCAAACATACTGTCACTGTTGCATCCTTTTATATTAAACATTTATTCCACTTGCCCCAAGTCACTTGCTTTAAAACTGTAAACTCTCATTTCCTTCCCTTTTATTTGTCTACTTTGGCCTGTGCTTGCACACAGAGAAGCACTTCTTTCCCACAGTTCCTTTTCTCCATTGCTTTCTTGAGATTAAAGGACAGACTTTTTTTTTTTTTTTTGAGCCAGTGGCTTTATTAGGATAAGTTACAGGAGTTTGGGCAATAGATATTTGTTTTTGTTAAGGAACAAGGGTGCCTCAAAGGCAGCTCTATGACCGTCAGCCCCCTCCCCCAGCCTAGGTGACTCTGGAAAGCTGCCTCCCTGGAGGTCTCCAGCAGACTTGTAGTCAGCTGAACAGCTCAGCTCTTCTTCTGCCGAGGACTGTTTATGGCTTTCATCACTCTGTGGAGGAGCCCGGTGAAACAGTGTTTGAGGAGCTTCTGAAGACTTTTGGGTGCTTGAACTGAGTCTTGTGAAACTGCCTCTCCATCCAGAAGAGAATGTTTCAATTTGGATGAGTTTTCTACACAAATATCAGTGACTGAATAATGATACTATATTTTCTCAGATATCAAAGAATGCTTTTAGTCATTTTATATTATATTTTTTCTGTTTTATTGAAAATTTTTTCATATAATATAATTTGATTACTCCTTCCTCGACTTTTATTCCTCCCAAGTCCTCTCCAACTTCCCTATCATTTGGATCTACTCCCTTTCTGTTTCTCATCAGAAAATAAATAGACTTCTAAGAGATAGTAAAATAAAATATAAGATATACTCCCCCAAAATCAACAGCAACAACAACAGAAAAAAAACAAAAACAAAAAAATAAACCACCACACTGGAATAGGACAAAACAGTAGTAGAAGAGCCCAAGAAAAGGCACAGGAAACAGATATAGACACAGAGGCCCACTCATCAGCACACTAAAGAATCCCATAAGAACCCCAGATCAGAAGCCATAGTATATACATAAGGACCTGTAGGATAAAAAAAAACCAAAAAAAAACAGAAAAAATCTTAAAAGATAAAATTAACTAGAAATAAAAAAGGAAGGGAGGGAGAAAGAGAGAGACAGAGACAGAGACAGAGACAGAGATACAGAGACAGAGAGAGCATGAGCACCTGGAGAAAGATGGCCTAAGTTAGTTTTTCTGTTGGCCATCTACTGTTGAGCAGGAGGCCTACCCTTAAGAGTGGTTTGTCTCCCCAGTGAAATTCCCATGGAGAAAACTACATTTTCATTCACAAGTGGTTATCAATTGGAGATCGCTTCTAGCTTAGGGATGGGGGCATGTGTCCACTTCTCCTTTAAACTCTAGGACCCCATCTGGTGCAGACCTGTTCAGGCCCTGTGCATGCCTCCTCAGTCTCTGAGTTCATGTCTTGTAAATCTTGTTGATTTAGAGGGCTTTACTTTCTTGCTGTCCTCCATCACCTCTGGGTCTTACACTTTTTCTGCCTCCTCTTCTGTGGGGTTCCCTGAGCCCTGAGAAGAGGGATTTGATGGAGACATCTATTTTAGGGTGGTATGTTCCATGGTCTCTCACTTTCTGCAAAATGTCTCTATATTTATTCTCATCTGCTGCAGGAAGAAACTTCTCTGGTTCTCTGGTAATGGTTGAGCCAGGTGTTGATGTTTGGGGATAGCAGAATGCTATTTGGAGTCATTTTATTACTATTATTTTTTTAAGAACCATAATATTCGGTTTTACCTTAGGTCCCTGGGCTATCTAGTCTCTGGTTCTCGGTCACCCAAAGCTGTATAAGGTGTGGGCTACATCTTGTGGGGTGGGCCTTCAGTAAAATCACATATCGTTTTCTCACTCCCACAAGCTTTGTGCCACAATTGCACGAGCATATCTTTTTTTTTTTTTTTTTGGTTTTTCGAGACAGGGTTTCTCTGTGTAGCTTTGCGCCTTTCCTGGAACTCGCTTTGGAGACCAAGCTGACCTCAAACTCACAGAGATCTGCCTGCCTCTACCTCCCGAGTGCTGGGATTAAAGGCGTGCGCCACCACCGCCTGGCTGCACGAGCATATCTTGTAGACAGGGCATCATAGTAGAATGAAGGTTTGTAGCTGGGTTGGTGTTTTCATTTCTTCTGTGGTAGTGTGCGGAGGTACCTTCCTATACCCAAGATGCTTGCCTGTAGTCATGAAGGCGCTAGGCAGGCACCATCTAGACTTCTCCATGTTCAATGAATTGTGTAAGTGTTATTTTCAGGAAGGGGGCTGTGCTATCAGTTTGTGGAGAGCAGCTTATAATCTTAGCAACGGCCTGATTGTTTGGAGGTTCTGATGGGACCCCTCTGACCAACAGCTTAATTAGATGTAACCCATTCCTAGATGGCTAGTTGGGGCTATGTCTCACCCATTATTTGGTGTTTTCATTTAGATTGCTTTCATGTATGTATGTGGTGGTTTAAAAGAACATGGCCCCCATAGGCTCATAGGGAGTGACACTATTAGGAGGTGTGGCCTTGTTGGAGTAGGTGTGGGCTTGTTGGAGGAAGTGTGTCTCAGTCTCTTCCTGTGTATTTGGATCTGCATATAGAACTCCCAGCTACCTTTCCAGCACTACGTGTGCCTGTATGCCACCATGCTTCCCACCATGATGACAATGGACTAAGCATTTGAACTGTAAGACAGCCCCAAGTAAATGGTTTCCTTTGTAAGAGTTGCTGTCATCGTGTCTCTTCACAGGAGTAGCAACCCTAACCATGAGAACGTATATATTTTAGAAAGCTTCAGCTGTATTAGGTTTCCATGCTACCCCTCACATGGCCATTAGTTGTAGCTGTCTCTCCCTGTATTCCATCCCTCCCTCCCCTCCCCTTTGCTGCTTGATTCGCCTGTTCCAGCCTGTCCATCTATTCATAACTATCTATTTTTATTTTCTTCTCCTAATATCTGTTTATTTCCCCTAGTTCCTTACTCTATACCTAACCTCTGGCTCTATGGATTGTAGCTTGCTTATCATTGACTTAGCAGCTAATATCCACATACAAGTGAATGCATACCATATTTGTTTTTCTGAGGCTGTGTAACCTCACTTAGTGTGATTTTTTTCTGGTTCCATCCATGTACCTGCAAATTTCATTTTTTTAGATGGCTGAGTTATACTGTATTGTGTAAATGTACCATATTTTCTTTATCCAGTCCTCTGTTGAGCGATATCTAGGT